TGAGGCTGAAAACCAGCAGTGATATCTGGTGCCCTGCAGGAGAGTGAAGTGCAGTTGTTCCAATCTTTAGGAATCAGTGTTTGCTAAGCAGACTTGCAGTGCCTGTTTATTTCCTGGGCTAAGGAGTCTTTTACTTCATGCAATAATAAAGAATGTTTTCAAAGCCAAAAAATCCATTTATTAAAAAGAAAAAAAAATTATTTATTGAAAAGAAACAAGGGGGTGGAGTGGGGAACGGTACAATCACAGATTCGCGTATGTCCTGTCTGATGTGCTGTGCAGTGAGTGCTGCACTTCAGGATAGCTATACTGCATGGTGATGGGGGTTGAGTGCAGAGGGTGAGGGTCGTGGTTTTCAGGGCTGGGTGGTGAAGATACTGGTGTTGGAGGCAGCTGGTGGCGTGAAGAACACAGAAGTTGGGGAAAGTGGGTTGGAGGTGACAGTGGGGCACAACGGAAAGAGTTTTGGGACAAGGGCTGTGGGGAGGGTGGCGTTTGCGGTACTGCTCCTTCTGCATGGCTACGAGCTCCTGGATAGCGTCTGCTTGGCGCTCCAGGATGCTTATGAGCCAATCTGTGCTTTGCTGCTGGTGCTCCGTGCTTTGCCACCGGTGCGCTGCGTTTTCCTGGCGGATCCTGCTTTCTCTCTCCCTCCAGTTCTGTGCTTTCTCGTTCTCTTTAATAGATTGCCGCATCACTTCTTGCAGCATGTCGTCTTTGCTTTTTTGCGGTCTCTTCCTGAGTCTTTGCAGTCTCTGAGCAGGTGATAAGAGGGACGGCTGAGGTCTCAAGGTTGATGCAGCTGTATAGGCAAAATGCAACATTTAACAGAGGCAGCATTGTTTATACCAGACAGAGTAATGATTTCCCCCGCACTTAAGGAGTAGAAAACACACAAGGTCTACACAATTGCATAATTTTCCTGTCCGAAACAGAGCCCACATATCCCACGGGAGCCTCAAAATGGTGAGTAAGGGGGACTGATTGTTTCAGGGCTGCACTGTCCTCTGGGTTTCTGTGCCTTGGGGAGAGCCAACAGCTTCAGGGGGCACCTACACTGAACACTGTCCCAACATTTTCCACAGGAGTTCGTCCTGGACGATATCTCGCTGCTGAGGGTGACCTGGGAAGCAAGGGAGGGTCTTCTACTGCAATGCGGCTTCCGCCCTGGCCCATATGCAGCTTGTCTGTGTGCAGCAATGGTCCCCCCGCCCCTCGCGGCACAGTGGCATGGACACGTTAGCCTGGCTGGGACAAGGACCACGGTGGCTCTCCCGATAAACCTGCGCAAGCGCATTGCACACGTTCTGGATGAGACATTCGAGGAGATTACCGAGGCCGATTACCGCGATGTGATAAACCACATCAATGCACTATTCCGCATCTAGGCATGCATGCCTAACCCTCCTCTCCCAAAGAGCCCGCACCGAAAAAATTCCTTCCCGAAAAAAAAAACACTTACCGGGAACCTGCTCTTCTGTTTGTCCTCCACCAAGTACCGGCCGCTGCGACTGGCTACCTTCCTCCTGGCTCGAGAAGAGCTCCTGGCTGCATGGCTCCAGGGATTCTGGGATGTCTCCATCCGGCCCACCACCCTCACTCCCATTTTCCTCCTCCTCCTCCCCCCCCCACACCGGCTCTGAAGTGTCCCTGGTGGTGCTCGGAGTGGAGGTGGGGTTAACCCCAAGTATCGCATACAGCTCTTTGTAGAATCGGCAGGTCGCGGGGGGAGCACCCGAGCGGCCGTTTGCGTCGCGGACTTTGCGGTAGGCACTCCGCAGCTCCTTCCCTTTAATCCTGCACTGCAGGGCGTCCCAGTCAGGGCCCCTTTCCATCATGTCCTTTAATACCTTCCCGAAGGTATCGTAATTCCTATGGCTGGAGCGCAGCTGGGACTGTACAGCTTCCTCCCCCCAAACACTGATGAGGTCCAGCAACTCGCCATTGCTCCATGCTGGGGCTTGCTTGGCGCGTGGAGGCATGGTCACCTGGAAAGATTCGCTGATAGCACTCCACGCCACGCCGGGCTGAGCAAACAGCAAGGGGATTTTTAAAATTCCCGGGGAATGTAAAGGGTGGGTCACATGGTTGGTTACCTGAGGCCAGGGCAGTAGAGTTTGAACTGATGACCAGAGTGGCTAGAACAGGCATTGTGGGATACTGCCGAATACTTCTGGAGGCCAGTCACAGAGCATTGGGCGGCCACACTGGCGCCGCAGCACTGCAGCGGCGGCGCAATACACGCTATTCCTCTCGGGAACGTGGAGTACATACAGCGCTGCAGCCACGGAGATACAACGCTGCAAATGCCTTGCCAGTGTGGACGGGGAGTGAGTTACAGCGCTGGGGGCGGCTTTACAGCGCTGTAACTCGCTAGTGTAGCCAAGGCCTTTGAGTGTTGTGATAGTTGCTCTCTGCCTTCACTCTGCAAGGGCTCCTTCTGAAAGGTAGGCCTGAAAGAAAAGCTTCTGGTTTAAAGAGCCGAGATTTCAGAATACTCTAAAACCCACTTGCATACTTCCATTTTACTTTTAAGTATTGCCAAGGAAAATAATTTCAAATAGAGGGAAGATGAAAGACTCTAGTAAGCAACAGTATTAGGGTAATGTAAATCATGCCATATGCTTCTCACCCATTTCCTGAACAATAGAACTGAATATAAACAAAGAAAAGCAAGTAGCTGTGACTTTGATGGATGTCAGAATGTTCAAATGGGTTGCTGAGCTTCAGAAAATGCCCCCCTAATAAGAGCTGTATACTGTATACTGTATATGGCATAAGATCAATCTAGTGAAACCTTAACTATGGGAGCACTACCATCCCACTATAATGCTGTGTCACACTAGAATTAGCAGGTCATTTGGTCAAGGGTTCCTCCCATACAGAGGTTTTTCCCCACCCCTCAAAAAAGTGCTGATTTTAATAATCAAAGTGCTCTAACGGGATTGATTTGAAAACTGGCTGGGGTGGACTTTGGGAGGGAGAGAGAGAAAGGGAACACCCATTTAGATGAATGGGTCAGTTCACACCTCTCAGAGCAATTGTGTCTGACTCTATTCATTTCCATGGAACGTTCAGATACATCTCATTGAGATGAATGCACCACTTTATACTCCTGGAATCCTCTTAGGCTGCAGAGGGTTGTGCAGACCCCTTTCTCCTACACTAGAGCCTGGTCTACACTAGGTAATTAGGTCGGTATAACTACATTGCTCAGCAGTGTGAAAAATCCACACACACCCCCGAGCGGCACAATTAAACCAATCTAACCTCTGATGTAGACAGTGCTAGGTTGACAGGAGAATTCTCGAGTCAACCTATCTACTGCCTTTCTGGGAGGTGGATTGCCTACACCAACAGGAGAACCCCTCCCATCAGCATAGGTAGTGTCTTCACTGAAGTGCTAATGCGGTGCAGTTGTGGCACTGCAGCGTTTTAAATGTAGACAAGCCCCAAAGGATTGTCTATGACGAGAGTTGCTTCAGAATAGCTATTCCTCATTAACTCCCTGTGTGGATGCTTTTATTCTAGGATAGGAGTTTTTTGTTCTGAATTAGCTGAATCCATTTTGGATTAGCACTCTATTGTTCCAGATGATGACACAAAAGAAATGGTAAGACTATGTGCTCACTCGGGCAAAAGCTGTATTCAGGGCAGGCTTAGTGACCACCAGCTGGCTATTCCTGGTCTACATAGGCACCGACTTCATGGGTGTTCCGGGGCTGGAGCACCCCCGGGAAAAAATTACGGGTGCTCCGCACCCACCAGCAGCCAAGCCTCCCCCACCCCCGAGCATGCTGCGTCCCCACTCCTCTCCCTCCCAGCGATTCCTGCCCCACGCGCCTAACAGCTGTTTGGCGGTGCTTAGGACTTTCCAGGAGGGAGGGGGAGAAGCGGGGATGCAGTGCACTCAGGGGAGAAGGTGGGGCTGGGGTGGGGACTTTGGGGAAGGGGTGTAATGAGGGGGGGTAGGGGGGGGCGAGCACCCACTGGGCAGAGGAGAAGTCGGTGCCTATGCTGGTCTATACTCGATCACTTCACCTCACCTGCATAAGCCACCGCCGGAGTTGCCAGATGTTTCCACCCTTTAAGTCTATAAGACTTCCCTCTGGAACATCACCTTTTTCTGTTTTACATCATGCTATCATGTTTACTCCCAGACTGCTACACATTTCTGCATCAAGGATAAACTACTGTGCGCTTCTATTTGCACGTGCACAAAACTCAGCACAGAAATGAGGGGGTCTCAAGCTCTGTGGGTACAGAAACAACTCTGTGGCAACCTTCCAAAAATAATCTCTGTACCAGTCCACTGTGATAGGGATGGCTGTGTTAAGTGTAGTTGGAATGCATGTAGACAAATGAGAGAATACAGTTCTGTACGACATGCCACATTTACTTCATTCCTCATATCTGCTTATTTTAGAGCAGCCCCGGCTGAAATTACAGCATCTCAACACTGGCTCTTGCCAGCTCTAGGTGCCAGAGTTAAGATTGAATGGTAAAGCTAGTGTGCATGCCGTAACTCCTGGTTTTCAGAGGTTTAAATATAGTTGCAGCCAGCATTATGAAAGGATATGAGGCACTGCCAGTCAACCTTAACTCTGCATTAACAAAGTTTTGGGGCTATGAATGTTGTTCCATGTTCTGGGTCTTATCTAATCATCAGCACAATAAACTAAATGCTGATATCTGTAGTTAGTGAGGTATGGAGCAAAGAGAGAACAGCTATTTCCCACAATTTAGATATTAAACTGATCTTGAAGTTACAGTGCTTGGAACCTATTTGACACTTTCAACAGAGCAGATTTAATCTGAAAGTCATTCGTGGAAAATAAATACTGAATGTTTCCGGAGTACCACTTTTGATGATGCAAAAATAGTATATGGTGTTTAAATTAAAAGCTAGACATCCAAAACGAAGTTAAATGCAGATTCTAACATTGTAAGGAAAGAAAAATGTTGCTGTAACTTTAACGTGTAACTGTGTTGTCTTTTAGATATGGCTACAGGACTTTCATGGTTGAACCAGGGGTTACTTTTAAATTCAGCTCATTCAGTTTCAACTTTAGAAACAGCTGGCGGTACCTCTATTTCTAAATCAAGGTAACTAGAGAGTGATTTTTCTATTTCAAACAATGAAAGAGAGTTTCCTGTGATACTCATATTGAGAAAGTGCAGAATTCACCCCGATGCATCACTTACCCTCTCAAAATAGGGTGTTATAGCACAGGAATGAATTTCACCCCAACTAAATATAAAGGACACTATGGCCTGGACTACACTAAAAAGTTAGGTCGATCCAGCTGCATCGCTCAGGCATGTGAAAAATCCATAACCCTGAGTGACATAGTTATGCCAAACTAACCCCCAGTACAGACAGCACTAGGTTGACCAAAGAATTCTGTCGACTTAGCTATCGGCTCTAGGGAAGGTGCATTTCCTCTGACGACAGCAAAACCCGCCCTGTTAGTGTAGGTAATGTCTACACCAGTGGTCTCCAACCTTTTTACGCACAAGATCCCTTTTCGAATTTAAGTGCAACCCAGGATCTACCCTGCCGCACTTACTCCATCCCCCTTCCAGCTGTCACTCACTCGCCCTCACTCTCACTCACTTTCACCGGGCTGGGGCAGGAAGTTGGGGTACTGGCTCTGGGCTGGGGCAGAGGGGTTTGGAGTGTGTGTGGGGGGCCTCTGGGCTGAGCCTGGGGCAGGGGGTTGGGATGCAGGAGGAGGTGAGGGGTGCAAGCTCTGGGAGGGAGTTTGGGTGCAAGAGGAGGCGCCAGGCTGGGGCAGAGTGTTGGGGTGCAGAAGGAGGTATGGGGTGCTGGCTCTGGAAGGGGGCTCAGGGCTGGGGTGCGGGTTCCCACCAGGCAGCACTTACCTCAAGCGGCTCCCTGTCAGTGGCACAGCAGAGCTAAGGCAAGCTCCCTGCCTGCCCTGGCCCCACACGGCTCCTGGAAGCGGCCCTCACACCCTTGCGGCCCTTGGGGAGGGGGGCACATAGCTCTGCGCGCTGCCTCTCTCTGCAGGCACCGCCCCCACAGCTCCCATTGGCCGCAGTTCTCCATTCCCAGCCAATGGGAGCTGTGAGAGGCGGTACTTGCAGGCAGGAGCAGCACACGGAGACCCCTGCCTCCACCCCTCCCCTGGGGCCTCAGGGGCAGGCTGTCCACTTCTGGGAGCGGGGTGGGGCCAGGGCAGGCAGGGAGCCTGCCTTAGCCCTGCTGCGCCACCGGATTTTTAGCGGCCAGAGATCGCGATCGACTGTCAGAGACTCCAGGATCGACCAGTTGAACACAATCTACCGGTTGATGACCACTGGTCTACACTGAAGCACTACAGAGGCACCACTGTAGCATTTCAAATGTACACAAAGTAGTTTCTATGATGACTGATTTTTGGAACATTCTAACTTTCTGATAAAAGGCTGCTTTCCACAGACAATTTCTGATTTGTAGTCTTTGCCCAGAGGAAAATGTGTGTGTGTATACATTTGAGGTTAATTGGACAAACTGTTTGTATAGGAGACTTGAAAAGTGGTGTGTCTTCACCTTTTAGAAAGATCTAAAATAGTTTGTTGATAATTCAGAACCCTTTGTGAACAATTCACACTTTTTTTACATACATTATTTATTGTGAGGAGTAAGATGAGACTTTTTTTTATTGCGTTTTCACCCAAGTTGGAGCCTTGAGGATTTTAGTTGAAATTTTTGGTGTCTGTACATGTTATTTCCCTAATTGTGCTGGCAAAAGTTATAAGTTCCACACTGCCTAATCCTTGCTTTAATTTTTAAATTTCTTGGTTGTGAATTGGCTTTAAAATAGAAATTGATCACAAGACCTAAATGTTTGTCATCGTGTATTTGGGTAGAAATCCTGTTTTTTCTGGCCCCTAGAGTTCCTAACGAGTTCTTGCTCATGGCAGTTCACCTCTCAATGCACACACACTACAGCATAGACAAGGCAATGGGAGAATCATTCCCTTTTGATTCCTTCTCTTGGCTTCAGGAGCTTCCCTAGCTGGGACAAGAGAAATTAGCAAACCCCCTATTGATCCTTGCATTTCTTTTGCTTTTCTGCACTCCTGATCCCTTCCCCAAATACTAGATTCATTTTAAATTAAAATGTTTCAGGTAGTTCCTTGTTGGTAGCTTCTTTGTTAAATACAAACAAGAAGCCACAAAAAGCTCTCAAACATCATGAGAAATTCTCTCAAGTTACAGGATGACTTTTCTGTTCTTTTGATAGTGGAAATCCAGGATTGTGTCTGGATGCTGAAGTGGCCTTAGCAACTGGACAGTTCCTTGCCCCTGGTAGTCAACAGTCCAGCAGTGCAACATCACGTTATTCGGAGTCACGAGGAGAAACCCCATGTTCATGCAATGATGAAGATGATGATGATGATGATGACGATTCCTCTTCCCCAGAATGAAGACAGCAGAAAACAGAATATACAAGATGCTGCTTTTATGTGTTTTTAGTGTGAGCTCCTGGTTTTCATGATGTAACTTCAGTTTCTTGCCTTTGTTTGCACTGTGTTCAGTTAAACTAAATGGAAACTTGCACGCATACACACACAAAAAGCACCCAAAGTTAAGAGACAGATTGAAAACTTTTTATAACTGAACACAGTGTGGTATACTGCCACAGAGTAAACAAAGCGTTTCAACTGCAACCAAGGAAAAAAGCAAAATCCCTGAAGATTTAGCAGACTAATTGCTAAGTGCACAAGTTTATTTTTCATAACTTGGGACATTGCTTCTCCAGTTTCTCTCTTCCTCCTCATTTATCCCACTCAGAATGGAGATGATTATAGTGTTGTCCAACAGATGCTGATTCTTACATTGTCTTTAGGCTTTGCTACCTTTTTAAAAAAAAAAAAAAAAGCTAAAATAGATAGTTTTAAATATCTTATGTATTAAAACCATTATGGAGAGGGGCTATTAGGATGTTTGCTTTGTTCTGTTCAACTTGCTGTACAGAAGAGTCTTAAAGTAATATAAAATGCAAGTGGCAAAATTAATCTTGAACTAGATGAAATCCATTTTAGATATTTTAAAGAATGAAATTAGTATATTTCTGTTGAAGGGTTCATATTTTTCCATTATTTTATTCCACTGATATTTTGGGCCTAATTTATTATAAATAACTGATTGTTAGCCATTACATAGAGTCAGGATAAAAATGGTGGTGTTCTCTACACCAACACTAATTTTTTTAAAGAAAAAATGTTAGTGAAGAAAATAGTGTTAATAAGTTGTCTGATAGTTTAAAAATAAATTCTCCCTTGAATATCTACACAGACCTTAACCTACTCTAGAAAACCAAATGGAATATAATAGCAAAAGAGTTTCTTTCTATAGTAAGGACTTCATACATTTTCAGGCAGTGTTTCAGTTTTCAAGGGACACAGTCACATAAAATATTATTTTAGGAACTAATAACTTTTTAATTTAAGATTCTTGTGAAAATCTAACTTTTCACTATTTATGCAGTTTGACTTTTTGCATTTCACTCACTTAGGATAATGAAAACAGACTAATCAAATTAACTTTTTGTTTTTAGTTAATTCCATTTTCCAACTGTTCTGCACTAACCGACACCATGCTGGCACTGCAGGGAAACATTTAACTCCAAACAACTGTTTTCACAGCATTTTTTAAAAAGGAAAAATGGAATCTGATTTTTATACTCTGTCAAGTTAGCAAAAATAATTCTCACACTTCAGAAGTAAGCATTGGGGTAGTAGTAATTTTGCTTTAATATCACCCAAAGGATTTTCACAATCATGTCAACCCAAAATGTTAGTAAACTGGGCCTCTTTAGTGAATAAATTGCACCTCTATTTACTGAAGGTCACATTAATGGAAAATATTTATTTGGAGTTTTGGAAGAGGTAAATGTCTAAACTACTGGATTTATATTTGACTCCATTGTGACCAAAGATGCTGTTAAATATGTTGAGTCACAGTGAAGTTATTGCATTTAGTGGAATATAACAACAACAAATCATACCAGTACAATGGTTAAATATAGGGGGGGAAACTGTTTAAAAATGTCTTTAAAGGGCTGAATTAGGCTCCCAAAATCTCAGAGTTGAGTCCAATTCTACATTTAGCATCACAACTTGGTGCCTAGAATGTCTCCGAACAGATTTTTTTTAAACATTCAACACTTAATATCAAAGCAGAACAGGTTGACCTGAAATGTTTTAATATGCAAGTTTAAACTAGTCCCAGTTTTTACTCTTTTCAATATGCTAAACCTAATTAATGAAATGATAAATTGAAATAATTCCTTTTTTATCTTCATAGTCCATGTAAATATTTTAGGTATTTCTAAATACTCATATTAGCTGTTAGACCACAATGACTAGGGCTGTTATTTAGTTAGGAGTTTACAAATTGCCTGCATCCCTATTGAAGATTTGTTGCAGTCTGTCATGTTTACACACATTTGGAGGAGAAGTGGCTAGCAAAGTTATAAGGAAAATTTTCCTCTATGCTTATCAAGCTACCTGCCAATCTGGACAAGACTGGTGGGATATCCCATGAACATAGGTCACAGAGACAGGTGGGCAGTAATGTCCTCTGTCTTGACTCATGTTAATAATCTATTCTCAGATTATTACTACAGTAACTACCACTTGAACTGGAAATGGCACTGTAAATGTTAGGTCAGTAATATCTGATGGGGGCAGGTTATTTCAGTGGTGTCTCTTCGCTTGGAGACAAGCCCTTTGGAAAGTGGTTTCTCTGTTTATGAAACCACTTGAGAAAAAAAAAAGGTCAGTGTGTTGTCCAGGATTCACCCCATCCACCAGACATTGCCGCAGGCCTTGGAAAACAAGGAAACCTATAAGCACCACTTTAAACACTAGCCCAAAGAGGAGCAGTAATAATTTTGCTTTAATGACAAAAAGTCGACAAAAAATATTCTTTTCCAGGAGCTTGGCATGCTTGCTCCAGTTGAAGTCCATAGCAAAACTCCCATTAAGAGTACACTGCACTACTACTCGCTTTTGGCAAGTACCATGGCATAGCATCACCAGCCTCTCTACTGTATTTTAATACCAGAAAGAATGTAGCTTTATTAACTGGTCAGCTTCACAAATTGATCTCCCACCGCTGAAAATAGTTAAATCATACAAAGGCCAAAACAGAAAACCAGTTTTGGGACTTCAAAAGGAAGTTGCTTGAGATCCTATGTTCCAAGTTCCAGTCCAGAGGGAATTTTAACACAGGCAGTTGTGGTTTTATGGTTACATTAAAGTCTGGGAACTGGTCCTCATCCAGGTGGAGAGTCACTTGACCTCCTTTTTGTCTGATGAGGCCTGCTGCAAAATTGCAGGACTGCACCAAAAACTGATGGTGCATCTCAATTGCGCTTTAAATGGATCTGAATTAAAAGGAGACTTCAAATTGCGGAGCACCCACAACTTCCATTGAGTCAATAGGAGCAATGGGTGTTCACTCCCTCGAAAAGGCCCTTTAACTCCGAGTGGCACCAGGAGGCATTACCATAGTAATGTGATCATTAACAGCTTGACTGGTTCTCTCATCTTCTGTTTAGTTGCCATATTGTGTGATACAGCTAATATGGCCATTGTTATCTGGTGATAGGTAGCAATTAAACTTTAAGCATAAAGAAAATTGTGATATGAACATTTGAAAAGTGACCTAGTGGTTGAGAGTGCTTTTTTGTTGTTTTGTTTTTTGTACTGCTATTCTGGATTATTTAAATGTTTATTTATTGGGTATGATTTACTAAAATTATTTGAGGAAATACATGAAGTAATTAGCTGTGACCAATATAATTGTGTGTATACATTTTAAATCTATTACAGTAAACATCTTTACATATTAAACATCTTATTTTAGGGATTGGGTGCTTTTTTAAACTTAGGGAAAGAGTCAATAAAACCTGCTAGACTGTACACAAATATCCCAAAAATGTGTGTGTTTCCAGGAGGAGGATGGAGGGTATTTCTACTGTGTGGAAGTTAGCTCTAACGTTTACTGAATCTGGCCATTAATGATTACACTACAGTTGTGCCAGTTCTTTCATTTCTACAAGCCAAATGTTGGTTCTACTGAAGTCAGTGGCAAAATTAATCTACTCTAAGATCTCATCTGTATGAGAGTTATTCCAGTTTAGCTGAAGATGTGCTTTTAAACTCACTTACTGAAACCAAAATAAAAATATCCACAGAGGAGTTTGCACTGGTTTAAGAGTGGCGTATTCTGATTTAGGTTGCAGAGATTCCTAATAGACTTAAACTAAACTGCAACAAGGCTGCTTTAAACCACACAGAAGTTTGCATCAGTTTAACTAAAGCAGTTCAAAATCAGACCTTTAGGGCATGTCTACACGTACAACGCTGCAGTGATACCGCTGCAGCGCATCTGGTGAAGACACTCTATGCCGATGGGTGAGAGCTCTCCCGTCAGCATAATAAAACCACCTCTATGAGTGGCAGCAGCTATGTCAGTGGGCGAGCTTCTGTCCATACTGATGCTTATGTCGGTGTAACTTATGTCACTCAGGGGAGTGGTTTAGTCACACACCTGAGCGACATAAGTTCTGCCAACATGGGCTGTAGTGTAGACATAGCCTTAGTTAAATTGGCACAACTTTCTTGTATGGAGAAGTTGTTTGCAGGGTTGGTGTCATAATATTAGAAAGACAAAGTGGGTGAGGTAATATCTTTTATTGGACCACTTCTTTGTAGAGCTCTGTGTAGGTTGAAAGCTTGTCTCTTTCACCAACAGAAGTTGATCCAATAAAAGATATTACTTCACCCGCCTTGCAACAAGGTGTGATAGAGTCAGAGTTCGATCCGAAATAATCACTGTTCTCAAATAAGTCACCCATAAAAAGCTGTTTTAGGGTAGAATCTATCATTTAAGGACATAGTTGTCAAATTATCTTTATTTTTTTTCCCTCCACACTACCGTCTTAAACAAAACCACCTCTAAAATGTATTCATTACAATCTAAAAATTAGATAATGGTCATTTGAATAATTAATGGGCACTTTAAAACTGAAAATATCCAGAGGCATTTTAAAAATACTTTTTAAAAATACTTTACTTTTAATTAGTCTAAATGCCAAACTACCTTGATTTAGAAAAAGTAAAGCAAGTAATTGCAGGGTGCATTTAACATAGACTAAACCAGGGTCAGTAACCTTTCAGAAGTGGTGTGCCGAGTCTTCATTTATTCACTCTAATTTAAGGTTTCGCGTGCCAGTAATACATTTTAACCTTTTTAAAAGGTCTCTTTCTGTAATATATAACTAAACTATTGTTGTATGTAAAGTAAATAAGGTTTTTAAAATGTTTAAGAAGCTTCATTTAAAATTAAATTAAAATGCAGAGCCCCCCGGACCGGTGGCCAGGACCTGGGCAGTGTGAGTGCCACTGAAAATCAGCTCGCATGCCACCTTTGGCACACGTGCCATAGGTTGCCTACCTCTGGACTAAACAAACCAAAACAAAAATGGGCTTTCAGTCTTGACCCATGCAGTTGTGCCTTGTAATTACAGATGTCTCTTAATTGCATGATCCTAATATACACTAAATGCTGGACTATCCAGATACAGTGAGACAGGGCTAGGACTATCTTTGATCTTATTTAACTTTGTCCCTCTTTGGGATTACACATCATGATCACAATCTAGAAATGTCACTATCTTTCTGGTTAATCTAAGCTTCCTTTAGTCAGAATAAGACTTCGGGGGCACTTAATGCTCTTGCAATTGTCCCATGCCTGGGATGTGATGAAGCCAAAGGCCTGTTGCTGTTATTTATTTAAGAGGAAAGATCCCCTCACTAGGTGAAGCAACATTCATTATGACATTATTAAAA